TCATGTATTTGTACATAATATTTTTCTTCGGCAAATTTGGTTACACTAATGGCTTGTATTAAAGTTGACCATTTAGGAAAAATACCATTACATATTTATATTATTATAATTAATGTTTTTATTAATAATAACAAATGTATTTATATTTTAAAAACTAATTTAATAATTAATACCAATGTATTTACGATAAATATGCTAATAAGTTGGTAATCATGTGCAATTAGTTAAAATCGTCATTTTATATGGTACTTAATAAAATGGTGTTAATTACATAAAATCCTATTTTCACCTCTACATGTAGTATGAAAAATAGGATTTGGTGGAAAAATAGGAAAATGGTGGATTGGTGGGAGATGAAAATTCTTTTACCAAAAAATTTGGTGGAAAAATAGGATTTGAGAATTTGGTGATATGGGGGTTACCACGGTGGGAGGCTAAAACCAATCTTTATAATTTTAGGTGTAATGTGATATATGAATTTCGGATGAGAGGGTAAAAACACTTAAATTAGATGAAAAAAGAAAGAGATCTAGCGACTGGTCGGAGATGCTCTTACAAATTCAACAGACAGGCGATATAGTGACCGGTCGGAGATACTCTTATATTCATTGACATATAGTACAACCAAGCAAAATTATATAAATGTATAAAAAAAAATATATTATAAATGTATAATTTTGATTTTTCTGAATACATTGATTTATTTTTATTTATTTTTATTAAAAATTGGAAATTTCAAAAAAAATATTTAGTTTTAATATTGATGCAAAATTTTTTTTTAAAGAAATGGAATCGAATTTGATACTCCCATCTATTCCTATCCCTCCAACCAAAATAGGCCTTACGGTGTAGCCCACAATTTAAGTTCTTCTCTTCGTCAGACTACGTGCTAAAGAATTCAATCTTTGTCGGCAGTTGTTTTGGTTGTCATAATTTTTCATAAATATTTTCGATGTTTTTGTAGTTATTTTTATAATGGATTAGGTTAATTTTGTAGAGAATTACTTTAATTTTTTTGAGTTTTCAATAGTTAATAAGTTTAATTTTTGTAGTCTTTGTAGATTGCTTTGGTGACACTTGAGAGTTGAGTGGTTCAATTATTTCAATGGTGTTTATAGTGGATTACATTAATTTTGTAGTGAATTGCGTCAATTTCTAGTGAACTGCGGTAAGGTTTTAGTGGATTTTGATATAAGTGGAATGGTTTTTCTCTTTCAAAAAGCAATTATTGGTAGGGGATTAGGTTAATTTGATAGTAGATTACGTTAATTATTTTAGTGAATTTCGATATTTTTGTTGTGGATTTTAAGGCCTATTTTGGTTGAATGGATTGGGCCGGATGGATCTTCTAATCTACCCGGATCTCAACTTTGGTTCATTTAAACGGACCCGGGATGGATCTTGGGCCCAGGTTACGATCCGCTAATTGATGGATCGTAGAGCCGACCGTGGGAGGTGAGATCCCACAATCCCATCCGTTCCCCTACATACACACATGATTTTTGACCTTACAGCCCTCAATATTCTTCCGTTATTACACTTGTACCGGGTATATATTACAATTTTTCCCCCAAACCTCATCTTCCCTAGCAGCCTTGGCCGTTCATCTCTCTACACATTTCGGTTTCTTCTGTTCTCCTTCGATTAACATAAGAAAAAAAATCGTATTTGTTTCCGCTTTTTTCCCCTGCTGATTGAAGAAGTTCGTTATATATTTCTTGAAGCTCTTCATCGGAGTTGCACAAGGTTTGCGTCCCTTCGATTTTATAGATTACATTAATTTTTTTATTTTGCTTTTTTTTGGGAAAAAATCTAACTCCGTTCCAACTTTTTTGTGTTCTATAAATGTTGAAAGGAGTTGTTGCATATGAATTGTCGAGTGGTGCACGGGGCTTGCTCAATCGGATAGGTTACGACTCGGTTTAGACGACAAGCTTGAACGCCTTCTTCCTAAAATATGTTTGCATTATCAGGTTAGTTAATACATGTTATGATGTGCGTCCATATTATTACTTGTTCACCCATCAATTTATCCATGTTTCTGGCATTTATATGCCAATTTATGACAGAGATCCTCCCCATCAATGTTTTTAGTAAAAAGAGTAATTGAAAGATAAGTATGTTCAAGAATGCTTCAAGTGTATAGGTATGGGGAGACAAACAGTAGAAAACTCAAGAGAACTAATTTACATTTTGTCTTGAATGTTGTTTACTTTCTAATTCTCTTCTTGCTTTACTTAGTTTATGTTTGAGGTTTTCATATGTAGAGAAGATGGTGGTTTATGTCTTTTGAGAATAACAAGAAACTTCCATGAATTGATACTTTAAATTTTTTAATTGGATCCAAAAGAAAAGTGATAGAATTGTCTTTGAATTCCTTGCTGGCATGCAGTTTTTGTATATAAATAGGTTTTTGAATTCGTTTAAACATAAATTATAATGCAAAATTTTCATTCTTTAAATGTGTAGATGGCTATTTGTGTGAAATTTGAGTTGATTTCGATTGTGCTCGACAGGTGGTGATATTTGCTTTTTGTTAAGCTTGTTATCGAAAAAGATCTTTGTGGAATTTATGGTCGCAACAAACAATTTATAGTGGACTTGAGATCGTTGTCTTGTTTGGATTAATAACATAAAACTATCACTATTTATGAGAAATGCAAGCCTTACGAGAATCCACATTGGTCAGGTTACAATGCAATAAATTGAACTTGTTAATATGAAGCTTTATATCTCTGTTACTAATATCTCATTGGTACTTCATCAGCGAGTTACGCTTGTTATGAAATCTTGCACTTTATAATTTTAATGTCCTTTTGCAAATTGAATTAGTTTTTCTTTGTTTCAATAGTTAATATTGAGTTGAATTTTGGTTTGATAAGACTATCATGGAAAGAAGTTTACGATGGACTGACTTTATTTTGCAGGCTCCCCCAAATTTTGGAAAATGGTAATCAAGAAGTTGCTTTTCATGATTTCTCCCATATTTGTATTTTAATCTCTAGAGTGTTCCAATCTTTGTCTTCGAATCCATATTTTTGTCTATCTGCATCATGTTTGATAAATATTTTATGATGGAATGACTTCTATATTTTAAAGGTGTACCTGAATAAATGCTAATTTAAATAGATTTAGATTATTTTAGTAGTATTATTTTATCTTTTCAGGTTCCTAGTATTTCAATATATAGAAAATGGATGCTTAAAGGAGCATATATTTAGTAATTTTGTTATCGGTAGCATGACCATCAGACAAAGTTGTTATGCTTTAGAGTTCCGTAAGCAACGGGACTACAAATTTATTGTATTCTATCGTTGTTATAACTTAAGTAATTTATTTTATTTTTTTCTTTGCGACTCCACACTAGTTTTTCTTTTAAGATATTGTTGTATTTATTTATTTTTCTTAGGATCGAATAGTACGAGATAGGTAGTTAGTTGTCTTTGTTTTGTGAATTTGGTTCAATTGTATTCATGAGAATTGTTATTTTGTATCACTTTGATGTTCCACCGTGATATGATTGTATGAATATTTTTTTATTGATAAATGTGCGATAGACTTGTAATAATGGTGTTACAGCCTTGCAGGTTTTGTGAGAATTTCATTGATGTCGACAAAATTGATGGTGTGAAGATTCACCGAGCACTCTAATTTATTTTCGGTCATTTTCAGAAATTATTTAAGTATTTGATTGCTACCAATCAAATCCTTTTTTTTTTATTATTTATTCAGACTTGGTAAATACTAACTTTGAGGACAACAAACATTGATCTTAAAACATCAACAATTTTCACCATCCATTTTTTGCTTCATGCTTTGTAACCAAAGATTGCAACGCATTAATCATTTCCAACAAGTCGGGAATCATCATCTTAATTATTATTATTATTATTATTATTATTATTATTATTATTATTATTATTATTATTATTATTATTATTATTATTATTATTATTATTATTATTATTATTATTATTATTATTATTATTATTATTATTATTATTATTATTATTATTATTATGATTATTATCATTGTCATTAGCTATCGATTTTTGAGTATTTTGATTTTTCTTCAGTTGTTGTTAATTTCCTCGTCTGGACTCTAATCGGTTTTTTATTCTATTAATGAAATATAAAACTTTAAAATATTAAATATTGCATTGACTTTTCAATTGATATTTTTGATGAAACTATTTAAATTATGTTTTAAATTATTACATCCAATGAAAGTTGAAATATATTAAGATTATTATTATTATTTTTAAAATATCAAAATACAAAATAATTATATTAAGGGGTACGTATTACAAATGAAATTTTAAGGGGTAAATGTTACATAGAGTATATACTTCGGGGGTCCAAAGCGTATTTAACCCTAAATTAAATTCACTTGGTGGCTAACTTATACCAATATTCACCGTTCCAAACTTAAATTTCAAGTTTACCTACGGATTAATATTCCCATTGGACAAGAACTCTTCATGCATTAGAATTCCCATGGAAGCCAAAGTAGTTACGTACTGATTAATAATTAATATTCCCATTCATGCATGTTTATAATAATATATAAAGAGTACTCTGATTTTACAAACTTAAAGTAGGGCGAAAAAACAACAGAAGAATACGATGGGAAACTGTTTGTGTGTGAAGCCAGCAACGAAGGATGGTATGACAATTCTCTTTACAAAAAAAATCTATTTTTTGCTTCTTGTGTATATACAGTTAAGCCTCTGTAAATCAATACAGTCGAAACTGGCAAAAGTTTAACTAATAATCATCGAACTAATAATTTAGTACGTTTTCACAGATTCGGGACTGGGAGAAGTTAATATTTAAGCGAGGTTATTAATTTATCGAGATTCTACTGTATGTATGTATGTATGTATGTGTGTATGTATGTATGTATGTATGTACGTATGTATGTATGTATGTATGTATGTATGTATGTATGTATGTATGTACATTTTTGTGCTGAAATTATGTGCACCTACTGTTTTTAGAAGTGACCACCTTGAATACAAGAGAGGCACCACCTGCTCACTTCATGATCAAGATTGAATCTTTCTCCGTGTTAGAAAAGTATGGAATTAAGAAATACGAAACAAAAGAATTTTTCGCCGGCGATTACAAGTGGTATATTCTCTCTCCCTCTCCTTAATAAGCCACTAAATAAGCCAAAATAATAATAATAAAGAAGTAATGGAGGATGTTTGAACTTGTACAGGAGACTAATATTCAAATTTAATGGAAAAGATAGTGATTATATATCTGTAAACTTGGCTATGGCGGACACAACTTCTCTGCCTACAAACTGGGAAGTCAATGCTCTCTTCAGCGTCTTTCTCTTTAATCAGATTTCGGGCAATTATCTTTCTTCAACAGGTATTATATAATACTCACCTTTTTTTTTCTCTCTTTTTAGTCATAAATTATTTGTTTACTTTAATTTCTAAGCACTATTTTTATAATATTATTGGCAGGAAGAACGCTTTGTTTCCAAGCAACAAAGTCCGAATGGGGAATTTCAAAATTTATCTCTAGAAAGGTTCTGTTTGATCCATCAAATGGATACATAATCGATGACAGTTGTGTGTTTGGTGCTGAAGTTTTTGTGGTCAAAAGAGAAGCAGTCATTGAACGTGTGTTATTGACGAATGTCAATACTTATTACAATCATGCTTTGGAGATTTCGGGTTTCTCCCAATTGCCCCAAAGATGGGTGTCTGAAGAATTTGATGCTGGAGGCCAAAAATGGTACAATTTTTTTGTTTGTCACAACTATTACCTTTTTTTTTGTTGTGTTTAAATATTTTAATATATGTAAACGTAGGAAAATCCTTCTTTACCCAAAAGGAAATGCAGAAGGAACTCGCAGCCATGTTAGCATCTATTTGTACTATCTTGGTACCGAAAGAGTGCAGACATGTTTTACCGTATGCGTGAAAAACCAGTTTGATGATAAACAAACTAGACGATATTGTAAGTACTTACAATATTTCATTTAAAATGTTTGATGTTTCAAAACAGAAAGCGAAACAAAAAACAAATGTACGAATGTACGAATGTCGGAGTGCTAACGCCAAAAAAATCCTCCTGATACTCCTTTGTTGCAGGTCTCTTGTGTTAGAGTAGGTGACCAACAAGCCAACATGTGGCTGTGGTCTTTCGTATTTATTATTGTAATAAACGAACCTTTATTCATATTAATGATAAAACACATTGGCATTCTATATCTTTGTCCCTTTGTCACAAGCATAGATATAGTCCTTACAGTTATTACAAGTACCAGTAATTGATCGTTAGGATCGTGAGATATTTACTTAAGTATTATAACTGTTAAACGTGTTCCTAGTCGAAGGGTTACGCCACTAATGAGGATATCAGCCTTTCCAATTAAGACTAGCACTTAGTGTATGTGTACTGCATCTCATCAGTAAACGGTATTGTGATATCGGCATGCATAAGTGGGTGCTCGTAAGTTGACGAGTTCACTGAACTCCCTCACCCTAGAAATCTCTAAGTGGTTCCCAATAATCGAGTAGAGATATCTATGGTATAGTTGTACACCATTAGTCCTTATGACCTAGACATCACCGTGACTTCACTAGAGGACCAGCTGTATCGTGACCTGTCCCTGAGTTCCACCGAGGACCATCCCAAGGGCCAGTGTTCGTGTAGTCCGAAATCTAGTGGGAGGTCTGTGCATTGTAGTCGGGGATTCGATCGCTAGAATAGTCTTGGATGTCCTGTGTGTTCTGATAGTTTGTAATCATTCTAAGTCTCTGGCCAGAGCTGACTAAGTGATGATTAGAGGATTCGATTCTCTAAGTCATGCACGTGACGATTACAATACTTGGAACGATCGCACCGTCATCGAACATATAAAGAGGTCTCGATGAACCAATGCCTCTAGTTCGATCGGGACATATGAATCGAAGGGACCGTACTGTACGTTAACTATATCTGAAGGTTCTTGCAGGCACTTCATTTGTATCTAGGGAATCATGACGCGTAGTTGCTAGACGCCAATCTTGATTCGTTGGGTGATTAAGGTGAAACGAGCTTCATCTTAATCGTAACTCTAAGGGACGAGTTTTGACCACAAAGAGTTGTGGGCCCACGGCTAGCTTACACCTGAACCATCGAGGGTCACACTGCTCGTGCTCATGAGATCTTTGAATAAACGGTCAGAGATAAAATAGTTTATCTTTGCATGATTGGAAGTCAATACGATTGAGTCCAACATTCGTAATTTGGAATTATGAATGAGAATAAGAAAAGGAAAAGAATAGGCGAACGTATTAGTGAACTTTCTAAATCGGGAAGTTTCCAAATTTAGAAAGTGCACTGAACTAGGGTTTCCACTTTTGGAAAGTTGGAAAATGAAAGATGGCACTCGTAATGACGAGGAAATTATAATGATTCCGAAAATGTAATCGTTGCAATTTTTCGGTCATTGAATTAAGAGAGACGAGCAAGTAAAAGTACTAACGGACTTAAGCTGTTGGGCCCGGTCCAACTTAAGCCCGCTAGGGTTTTATGCAAGACATATAAATACTTGATTTATAGGTCTTGCACAAACACACAACAAAAACCCTAACCCTAGCAGCCGTCCACCTCTCTCTCGGCCTCTCTCTCCCACGGCCAACGCCGCCGCTCACTCCGCCGTTTCGCCGGAATCGGCCGTTGATCGGCCGATTGGCTTGGTAGTCTCTTTCCTTCTCTTTTTCTTCCGTTTTATTCTAACTACTTCGTGTCTAGTGCCACGTTTTAGTAGATCGAAGTATACGAGGTGAAATCCGAGAGGAGGAAGATCGAAGATCGAGGAATCGAAGAGCAGCGCACGAGCCGAAGCCGCACGCTGCCCCACGCGCCGCCCCGGAAGACCGCGCGTGTACCTCACGCGCCGCCGTGGCCGATTTGCTGCTGCTGCCACTGCACCGCTGCTGCCCCGATTGTACGGATTTGTTTCCGTAGCAATCTCGACTTGCTAAACGCTCCTACCTCACGCTTCAAGAGGTAAATACACGAAACCCTAGTTTCGATTCGATTATGTTTAAACTATGATTTCATGTTTGCTTCGTATGATTTTATGTGATTATGTGTAATCGTTTTAAATCATCGCGAGCATGTTATTTGGTTTAAACGCGAGTATGTTAATTGATTTAAATTCGGTTAAATTAATTAGCATGTATGTTGTTATTTAATTTCGCTGGAAGCGCAAAGGTACGCAATTAATTGATTTTAATTTGTCGGGCATGTGCTTATGTGCTTTAAAGTCGTCTAAATCGCATTAAATTTTTGTTTTCCGCTGCGTACGCGTGCCCGAAACCCAACAGTGGTATCAGAGCTCGTTGCGCAATTAATTGCGTCGTTTAATATGCTATGATTTTATGCATGTTCGATTTATTAAAGTAGCGATTGTCGTATTATGTAATTGGGAGTTTTCGTAAGTTTAAAATATTTTTGAAATATTGTTTAGAATTTTTCCAGCTTTAAAATTGTTTAAAATTGGAAAATCGGATCTGAAATTATTTTAAAACTTCGGTTTTTCAATTGTTCGGATCGAACCGGTCGAACCGACCGGTTCGATGGTTGTGTGCGATTTAGTTGACCGAATCCACGTGGATTCGGGTCGGTCAGACCGGTTCCCGGTCCGACTGACCCGGCCCACTGATTTGGGTCAGCTGGACCGGGCAGAACCGGACCGCTTCGGTCCGAACCGGTCAGACCAGTTGGGCCGAACCGGTCCACTGAAAATAAAAAAAAATATATATATATATTTCAGATTTCTAAAATTAAACTTAAAACAAATTGATTTTAATTTTTGGAAAATTATTTTCAATTAATCCCAATTAGATAATTGGATCGACAATCGTCTATTTTAGTAAATAGGTGTTAGATTAATTAATTAATTTAAACTGTTAAATTGATTTCAATTAATATAACACATATATAATATTGATTATAAATTCAACTTAATTAGTAGTACCTTAACATTATTTGAATGATTTATGCTAGTTGAGGTTCTATAATTATTTTGAAAACTCGATAATTAATTAATGTAATTAATTATGTAGTTAGGTCGTATGTTCCTCTTAGGACAATATGCGTTTCCATATACCTTTAGAGAACATAGATGTAGGAATCACATAGACCAATCCAAAACCTTCTGATGAGATAAAATATTTTAATAAAACCCCTCATTCTTAATTCAATTAAGAATCATTTCAAGCTATAAAGAAAAACCCAATCTGTTGAGTTATTTCTTTCCTTCTGCCAACGGTTGGATTATGTGTAGCCCTTTACTATAGTGCAGTAAGCCGTGTTAGCGGGGAGTGCTATGGTAAAGTAAGCTGTAATTCAATTGACATAATGATGAAGGTAGCCGTAGAAAAGGGTTATGTTGAATTAACGTGGTCGGCTAGATTAACTAGGGACTGCATTAGTTTGGCATAATCAAGTTCTATGAGCATCTTTGATTGGTAGGTTAGACTTGACACACGACGATTTTGATATTCGCGAGATTAACTTAGGTCATTATCAAGTGTGAGGAAAATTAATTTAGGGTCATATTGTGGATATGATTGATTGTGATCTACCTTTGGGCAAATATAATCGGGCTAGATTAACTACGGGTTATATTTGTCTATTGGACCTAAAGCCCATTAAGAAAAATCAGTTTTCTGGTTTGTCTACTAGAGGGAAGTGGAATTCGATAAAATTAGTGGGAGAACAATTAAATAACATAAGTCCAAACATTTAATTGTAACAATCATTTAACGCGAATCTCTAATAATCCTCTTCTCTATATGTCTCAGATAATTATGTCTAAGAATCCCATAATGTCAATCCTCGACAATAAACTCAATGGCCCTAATTACCTAGATTGGTTGCGTAGTCTTAAACTTGTGCTAACTGTTGAGGGGCGTCTCTATGTTTTGAACGAGAGGCTTCCCGCCACTATACCTGCCACAACGACTGATGCTGACAAGGAAACTTATGAAGTTTGGAAGAAAGATGACACTCATGCTAGGTGCTATATGATAGCCGCCATGGAGCCCGCGCTTGCGAGGAAATATGAGTCTCACTTGCATGCTTTCGATATAAAGGCTCATCTCGATAGCATGTATAGTGAGAATATTAGGGCATCGAGGTACGCTGCTACAAAGGAGTTGATCACAGCGAGACTGCGCGAAGGGACTTCGGTCCACGAGCACTGTCTCAAAATGATCACTCTCCTTGAAAAGCTAGTGAATCTTGATGTCACCCTCCCGGCCGAGCTCTCGTTGGATTTGATCCTGTTGTCTCTTCCTAGTTCCTATGAATCGTTCATAGTGAACTTCAACATGAACAAACTAGATCCTCCCTTGGATGAGTTAATGAACATGTTGGTCGGCTTCGAGTCCACCATTAAGAAAGAGAAGTCTGTTCTCATTGCTACTACTTCTGGAAAGAAGAGTTCTTTCCAAAAGAAGAGAAAGGAAAGAGTTCCCTTCCCTAACAGCAAGTTCGAAGTGGGTGAAGGTAGTGGGGGCCCCAAAGCAAAGGTTAGCAAACAAGTTGATGATGCTTGCCATCACTGTGGAAAGAAAGGACATTGGCGCCGCAACTGCAAGGCTTACCTGAAGCAGAAAGGTTCTGAAAAGGGTACGTATTTCATTGACGTAAATTTGTCTGTCAACTCTTCTTCTTGGGTATTAGATACGGGCTGTGGCTCACATTTGTGCAATGATTTGCAGCTAATGACAAGA